ATTGGCGGTTCTTCTCATCTTACATAATTTATCCACCCTTTATTTAGATGGTACCTGGTGCAGGCTCTGTTCCAGCACTGCAAAGAATACCACTTCCTGGAGCTGAAATGCTAGAGGAGGAACCTTTGTATGTAAATGCCAAACAGTATCACCGAATATTAAAGAGAAGGCAGGCAAGAGCCAAATTGGAGGCAGAGGGCAAAATCCCCAAAGAGAGGAGAGTGAGTATCTGGCTTTGAGATGTATCACAAGATAAATCGAGATAAATGCTTTTGGAGTTTTTCACACGGCTTCCAAAAGCAGCTAAATGAATAACTGAGCCGAAGCAAAGTGAGCCATTCGGCTACTCACTTCAGCCGGGTATGGCTGATTTCGGCTTCCTTCTGTTCAGCTAAACATGCTCAGCATGTTCGACACAGCCGATCCAACATGTGGATTGGCTGAGCTGAACATCCGGCAGTTCATTCACTGCTGTTCGCCCCTATTCTCATAGGGGCCGAACAGCAGTGAGTGAATAGCTAAATGCAATCGAGCGGCACTCGGCTTGGTTATTCTGTTCGCTACCTCGTGAGTTGGTGAACAGATACAAAAAAAAATTTAAAGGAGGAACAAAAAAAGCATTGGGCCCCCTCCTAAGCCATACCAGGGTCCCCCCAGGAAAAGCACCTTGTGGCCATGCCGATGGGGACAAGGGCCTCTTCTCCACAACCTGGCTCCGGTGGTTGTGGAGGTCTACTGGCAGGGTGGCTTATTTGCATCGGAGGCATTCCATAAAGGGGGCATCCAGATGCTACACACGCCCCCCCTGTGAATGAGTACCCCTACTCATTCACTAAAGGATTAAAGAAAAATATAAATAAACACACCACACTAAAAATCCTTTAATTGGAAAAAAAAAACTAAATTTTTGTGACTATTTCTTGAATTAATAAAAAAAAAAAAACAATTAAAAAACAAATTCTCCAACGAAGTAATCCAGGGTCAATCACGTCATCCAGCGATGTCCACACCGACTCGTCGAAATTTATTTTGAAAATTTGATGGCCGCCCACACGCAAAGAACTCCCGCAGCAACAATTTGACAGATGCCGGCTGAATGTAAACAGATAGGGCTAAGCTAGCAGTGACATCACCACTGGCTCCGCCTATCTATTGAAAGTTGGCCAGCAGCTCTCAAATCGCTTTTGCATGTCCCAGCCAAATGAAAACATACGGATGGAGTCGGCTGGCTCTACCCATTTGTTGTCATACAATGACCGGCTACTGTCGTCAAATGACCTGAGGACAGTAGCCTGTCATTGTATGAACAGATGGGCGAAGCATATGTGTTCGGCTCGGTTGAGCTCTTCAGCTGCTGTACGGGCTATTGTGAATAACCCGTGCGTGAGCCTAAGGATTAGCCGAAGCTATGGCTATATCCTTCGGCTCTTTAGTGAATAACCCCCTTTGTGTTGCACACATCTATGAGATCTGACAAAGGCAGATCCCCTGTTACTGTATTTAACATAGGTGAAAAGTTATCAGTTATTCCAAGAAATTAGAAGTTTTATATATGAACCATTAAAGTATTACCAGTTCTGTGTAAATGCTAATTTGCTGGGTTTCAGAAGCTATTTTTTATTGTACAGTGTAAAAAAAGAGCTGGTGACTAATGCATGTGTGTATGTACACACAGAGCACACGTGGAACTACAAGTGACATCATTTGTTATTGCAGTTTCAGGATGGTTTGCTTGCTTTACCTGCCTCCTCCTGAGTCATGATGGGTCTGAGCGGGCTTCTATTAGCATTGATTTGGAAGAGATATGGAGCAATAATCACAATGTACTCCTGTTTGCGTTCAGATGTATGCAGCTACATACTTGAGGGATTTTTTTTTTTTTAGGGTTGTCAGTGATGCAAATAAAATTCATGTTTGGGGTCATTCTGTTACAGATGGGTATAATGTAGCAGAGCAGGAAAATTGAAGGAGACCCTGTGCTCATTCCTGTCTAGTTCTTATATTCTGGCTTGCTATACAGTAGGTGCCTTGGTGGAGAGCAAAACAGGATCTAATAATGCACAGTTGCAATACTTAAACAGAAGAAAACTCTGATAAATGTATCTTGCAGTGCCTCTTGCCAATGCTGATAAAATCTCTGTCATAACAATGGCAGCGGGATAATACATCCTCTCTGATGGTAAAGTATCAGTAATCAAATCGTTGTCTGCTACTACTGAGCTCTCCCGGAAATGCTAGTTTCCAGGAAAAATAGCAGATTAGGAGTTACTTGTTTTTAATCAAGTAATTGTAGTGGGTTTTTTTTTCTTGGTGACATAGCAGTAGCTGCCCCCGCATTTCTTGCGGATACTGCGTTCTTAGAGTAGAAGGGAGTAACGAGAATGCAGAGTGCTGACATTAAGTATCTGTTGTAAATCTAATGTTTGGATTTCCTTTTGTTTTCTCTTTTGTAATATTTCAGAAATACTTGCATGAGTCTCGGCACCGCCATGCCATGGCTAGAAAGAGAGGAGATGGAGGACGTTTTTTCTCCCCTAAAGAAAAAGAAGAACATCTCTTAAATGTACAGGTACGTTAAATTAAGATTATGCTGTTTTCTCTGTGTTTTGCTGAATATTCTCTTTGGCTGGATTTTCTTCCTATTTTTATTCAGTCTGTTCTAACTGATGCTATTGAGAAAGGTTATAATGACCCAAAGAGTGACATCTGTGTATGGTTTTCTCATTCGTTGACAGTTAAGCTTTGCACTAGGTAATCTGTATAAGTAGGGCTCTCTGTAAGTAATAATGCATGAAGGGTAAGAAGGTATTAGGTACAACCCCAATTCCAAAAAGTTGGGACGCTTTGTAAAATCTACAAAAAACAAAACAAAACAGAATGCAAATCTCCTAAACCCATATTTTATTCACAATAGAAAACATATCAAATGTTTAAACTGAGAAAACAGACCATTTTAAGAAAAAAAGAAAAGGTAATTTTGAATTTGGCAGAAACTCGTCTCAAAAAAGTTGGGACAGGGCAACAAAAAGCTGGCAAAGTATGTGGTACTAAAGCTGGCCATACACCTTACAATTATCTGCAGATTTTCTGTGGTCAGATGGAAAAGGTGCAACAGATTCCTCCATCTACACTTAACTGTGTGGATGGAGTAATCCCCACCTGGGCCAATCTGTTGCACTTTTTCCATCTGACCACAGAAAATCTGCAGATAATTGTAAGGTGTATGGGC